CCCTAGTACTTAGTGCCTAGAGCATGGTAAACCTTGATTAGCATTTATTAAATAAATGGTGTATTTTGACTCTCATAGGGATGAAATAATTTTTATCTAAAAAATAGCTTTATCAATGACTGAATTGGAGCCACTGATTTTTGAGCAAGTGAAAAGGAAAGTGAGAGCGTAAGATTTTTAGTGACAACACTTTCAATAAAAAAAAAATTTTACAGAAGTTGCTCACTATTTTTATCTTTGTATATGTCCATAGTTTTACTATTACACTAACACGTCTCACTGTCACTAACATGGCTGCATTTTCACAAGTAAATAAAGCAGATTGCTGTTTTTGTTTGGGAAAGCAAAGCAGATGAAGTTTTTCATTTCATAGGACCCCACAACAAACCACAGCCCAATATGTCAGCAGAATCCAAGGATTTAGAAGGCCTAAAATCCACAAACCCAGGAAGACACCCAATTAACAGAGATTAAGGTCCAAACATGACATACACCTATTGGAAATGCCAGGCCATGTCAAACAGTATCCAGTCTTGTTTTGCAACCATGTTAATGTTCTGTGCAGTGTGGGGGCTGAAGACTGGGATTACATTCAAAAACAGAACATAAACTAACCCTTCTTCCCATCAAGAAGTGTAATGACTAGTTTTCACCTATGCTCTCCAACCCCAAATGATTGAACTGGCATTAGTGCCAAAAAATTGGAAATGTCTTAACATGCATTAATTGCTTAATGCTTGTGTTGTCTGCTTGGAAAGGGTGGGGTGGTATTTAAGTTGCTTAATGACTTTACATTTTCCCATGGCAAAATACTTGTGATTTGCTTATGCTATAATTAAAGTTACATAAACAAGGCCTTTGGAAACAAATGAACTGGCTTCTCTGCTTCCTTACAAGAAGAATTTTTTCTCAGCTCCAGCTGCTAAGTTCAGGCCCTTCAGGAGAAGAAAACTACCATCCCAGCCCCACTTCTCTCCACCTTTTACAAGTCCCTGTGCTTTGCTGAGTGTAGGTTATGAGGGTAGAGGAGTTGGTAGAAGGACGATTAAGAAAATAAACAACTCTTCATTGTTTAGAAACAATTTCAAAACAAGTTGAAATATAAGTAATAGGGACTAAGGACAAGCAGGGTAAATTTAGAAGAGCCTGGTTACCTTGAGGCCAGATAACCTAGTGATGAGAAACCCTGAGGGCAGAGTGGGATGTGTCTTGTAAAACCAGTTAATCAAATGTTTATTGCTGTATAAGGACAGGCCTTTGAACCCACATGGTTGCTCTCACGTATCTCAGAAATGACGCCTTCCAGGAGCATAGGTGTTAAATTTCAAGGAGAGGTCCCTTGTAGTGGTGAAAAGAACTCTTGGCAGTCAAGGAAGGTTTCAAGCACTCGACCTCCCAAAGAAAGCAAACCAGTCAGGATAACTGAAAAAGAAATCCAGGGTTTGGCCTCAGGTTTATATGGAACCATTATCTTTGGGAGTTAGAAGGTCCTTTTTCAGACTCCCTACTGCAAACCAACCCCCTACACACCTTTCTTATATAATTAACAAGAAAGGTAAGGACCAAGGACAGTAAGTGTCAGCTTATTAAACTAAAGGTGACTTTTAGAGTGTACTTTCTTTTTATTTCTTGATTTTGGCCTTTTGTATATTGTACTCTCTGCTGAATTTGGTGGTGCTTCATTTGTCATGTGCATTGATCTAAGTTTCCTGCTAAGAATACATAACATATTCTTAAAAACAAATATGAACTAAAATTTATTTCTCTTAGATATATGCAGCTCTTCAGCTTTCAAACACTTGACATTAATTTGTGAGATTTTCATTTACTTAATTGCTAAAGTCAACAAACTCAATGAGCAAAATTAAGCTCACTTTTCAATTAGACTTATTAACAATTCTTCTAAAGAAGAGATGGAAGAAGACGAGATGATGTGGGTGACTTGGCCTTAGATGCTGTGGAAGATTGATGGCATTTCTGGTCCTATTCATGACTTTCCTACATTCAAACCCTTTGCACTAAGACCTCCAAACTGTACACCAAGAAAAGGAGACTATTTTCTTCCTCTTAAATCTGAACTGCCTGGCAACTTGTTTTTGTTAATAGAATATGGCAGAAGGAGGCCTTGCATCCTTCCCTTCTCTCAATTAAAAACTTTGGCAGTCTCCATGTGAGCTAGCACAGGCTAGCCTTTTTGAGTATGAGAGGCATGTGGACAAGATTTAAGCAATCAGCTAAGGCCAACATACACCAGCCTAGAGTCAGCTGATCATCAGACATCTGAGAGAGCCCAGCACAGATTGGCAGAGCTGCCTCCCAACCCCCAGTTGACCACAGGTGCAAGCTCATCCAAAGGTCAGCAGAACCACATGCTGGCATCTTATGATACCGTGATTTGTAATAAGAAATACATATTGTCTTAATCTCCTTTTCTGACACAGAACTCATAATACCTTTGGAATTTCCTATGTAATGATACTAAAAGAGTGTCTTTTGTTATGTTAGTAAGGTGACTTTTGGATCCCCCCTAAGGATAAGGGGTGATAGCCAAGGGAACCAGTTATGTGATTGGAGGTTGAAAAATTTCAGTCCCATCCACCAAGGTGGTCATGGGAAGCTCTGATTTATAGCCAGTGAGTCAGAAGCACAGATAATAATCTAGAATTGCTATGGCATCTGAAGTGAAGGACAGTCTTGTGGGACTGAGCCCTTAATCTGAGGAACCTGATGCTGTTTCTGGGTAGATAGTTTCAAAATTGACTTGAATTGTAGGACACCCAACTGTTGTATGAAAATTACTTGGTGGTGTGGGAAAAACCTACACAGTGGAATTAGTGATCACAATCCTTACCTATAAATTCATCAGCAATGCAAGATGCTTATTATTCTGAGAACTTGAGTTTTAAGATGGTTTGATTTACACTTCTACTTAACTGATACACATATTAAAGAAGACAGTTTTAGAATCACGTAACATCCATGAAAGGTAAGAAAGTAAAGACATTGGCATTTTTATGTCAACCCATGAAAGAAAATACCTACCAAGAAAGGCTCCTAGTGGCTAACTGAGCTCAAATTTTAAAAACAGAGACTGGAAGCATTTCTAAACAAGACTGTCTCATGAAAGCTGCACTTTAGGGAAAAGCCTGCACTGAACTGCCAGCCTTCATTTTGTTTGTGCTGGCTGAGCCAACACTTATAAAGGAAATTCTGGAATCCTATTTCAACCAACATAACTGAGACTTGCCCTGTCCAATCAGAGCTGCACAGCTATATCCTCATTTGCATCTTCACTGATCAATCAGAGCACATTCATTCCAACTGACCAGGACAATGCTTTGAACCAATCTGTAGTTATTAAGATTCCTCATTTTCATGAGGACAGACCAATTGACATGCAGAGGTGTGAATTTCTCTCTATAACAGTCAGCTCTGCTCTGGCTTGGAGAGCATACTTCCGAGACTGAAGATTGCATTTCTTTGGCTAGAGTTGAAACACTGAAGACATCTTGCGGGACCAGAGTGGACAAGAATGGAGCAGAAAGTAGAAGAATAGAGGAAAACTGAGCAGGCAGAGAAGAGGGGATGGAAGAAAACCAGAGAGGGACAGAGTAGAGAAGATCTGTCTAGCTAGAAAGGGATTTAGAAATATCCAGCCGCTTCAGTCACGTGTCTATAACCTGGGCTGAAATCATTTCAAGGCTGTGCTCAGGTGGCCTTTGGTTGCACTTGCATATAAAACTATGTAATTTTGTTGCTTGAAACCAAACAGATATGACATTCTCTTGAAATTTCAACACATGGTTTCTTCATTTACATTAACTTCTGATAGGATTCAAGATAGAGACAAGAGAAAGTATTCTACAAAGCATCCAGAAAGCAAGTATTTTAAGAAAGCCAAAAGGAAGGGGCAGGGCTTTTTACTAGTTATCCTCAGAAATCACACTAAGCATCTTGATGGGTTGAAGCAGTAATGAGCCCAGCCAGACTCTGGACCATAGATATGCAATATTGTGGAGAGGAATGTCGAAGCTGAGGGTCATGTGTGATAACCACTACTCACATTGACTCACATTGACTCACTCAATCATGAGTAGAGTTCTCCTGTCTCCCTTGTTTGACAGTCTCTTCTCTGTTCTTTTTCTAGGTACCCAGTGCCTTTTAATTTTATAAATTATCTGTAAAATTTTGCCCCTTAGTCAAATTTCCATGCATCTTTTGACAGAAAAATTTCTCACCTCTTTTGATAGAAATCCCATTCCCAGTTTGGATAATGTTTGCTAAGGTTTAGTGTAATTTACTTTAAAGAAATAACTCCCTGAAGTGTTAATGATTGACTAATTTAAATCTTTCAATAGGGTATTTACATATCAGATGGGAATAAAGTAATCAAAATGAACCATAATTAGAAGGAGTGAGTACATTCTCCTGCTTTCCATGTATTTCTTATCCCCTCCCCAGCCCTCAAACTGCCCCAAACTAAGAAAAGAGCAAAGAGCACTCTGCCATTTTTATTCAGAGAAAGAAGCCACCAGTTACCTAAGCCTCTCAGTGCTCCTCCTGGTGCAGTTATTATAACTTTATTACTACATTTCATAGTATCTAAGATGCCTTTATAAAATGCGCTATTATTTTATATACCACTAGAAAAATGACTGCTAATTAATCATTAAACATACTGATTTCTTTTTTTCGAGATGAACAAAGTCACATTTTTTAATTCAAAGGGTGAATGACAATGAAGATGTAGCAATTTCAAATACCAACAAACCACATAATATGGTACAATCCTTATAAAGCTAAAATGATGCAGGTACAAGGAAAATAGTTAAAAACACACCAGACTCGGAAAGGTTATTCTCCTGTTATTTCAAAGCAAATCAAGCAGGGTTGGGGGTAAGGGAAGAATGAGAAAACCCTAAAAGCATCTGCTAAAAAATCAGGAATATTACAAAGATACCTACCCACTGTCATGACTACCATTTAAAAATGGTGGTAAGCACCTCTTGGTGCTTACCACAGGCTCTGTGTTCTTACACTGCCTGTACAGAAAGAGGAGGCAGAGTAAACCCACTCCGTGTACGCCTCAGCCCAGGACCTTTGCCTGGTCTGTACTGTGAATGGGGGGACACAATAAACAAACAAACAAACAAACAAACAAATAAATAATAAAATGGTGAAGGGAACCAGACAAGAGAAAAATACTAGAAGTTCTTAAAACATCAAAAAGGTGAATTTAAAACTCTAGCATGTGTGATACATTATTGTATACCAAGAATCACCACCCAAAATAAAACCAACTGAGTACTAAGAATAGTAAGAGAATTCACTTAGATGTGGCACAAGATTAATATATCCATATAGGTAACTTTCTTTTTTAATTATGGGAATTGATTTATTTATTGAGAAGAAATTTAAATAAATTTTAAGTTAGACAAAATGAAAGCTACAGTCTCAAGGAGTTTATTTTATCAAAGGCTTTATCATTCTTGTTTGTATGATACTAAATAAAATATGTGAAAAATAGGTAGACTATAATTACTCATGATTTTGGGTATTTTACTCATGATTATTTTGTATGCAAATAATGTTTTGACAATTTGACATTTTTATAAGCTGATTTTGGGTTTTTTCTTTTTTTTTTTTACATTTTTTATTGTTGTTCAAGTACAGTTATCTCCATTTCCCACCCCCCCCAACCCCAGCCACCCCCACCCTCCCACAAACGATCTTACCCACTTTGGTTTTATCATTCATATGTCCCTTATACATGTTCCTGAAAACCCCTACCCATCTTTCCCCCTTTATTCCCTTCTACCTTCCCTTTGGTTACTGTCAGTTTGCCCTTAATTTCAATGACTCTGGTTATGTTTTGCTTGGTTGTTTGTTTTGTTGATTAGGTTCCACTTATAGGTGAGATCATATGGTATTTGTCTTTCACTGTCTGGCTTATTTCACTTAGCATAATGCTCTCCAGGTCCATCCATGCTGTCACAAAGGGTAGGAGCTCTTTCTTCCTTCCTTCCTTCCTTCCTTCCTTCCTTCCTTCCTTCCTTCCTTCCTTCCTTCCTTCCTTCCTTCCTTCCTTTCTTTCTTTCTTTCTTTCTTTCTTTCTTTCTTTCTTTCTTTCTTTCTTTCTTTCTTTCTTTCTTTCTTTCTTTCTGCTGTGTAGTATTCCATTGTGTAAACATACCATAGTTTTTTGATCAATTCATTTACTGATGGGAACTTAAGTTGCTTCCAGCATTTGGCTGTTGTAAATTGTGCTGCTATAAAGGTTGGGGTGCATAGGTTCTTTAGAATTGGTGTTTCAGGAAGCAAAATATAACCAAAGACACTGAAATAGAGAACAGGTTGACAATATCCAGAGGGGAGAGGGGAGGGAATTTCAGGGGAAAAGGGGAAGGGCTTACAGGAACAAGTATAAAGGACACATGGACAACAACTAAGGGGGTGGAAATGGGAGGGAGTTGGGGAGCACTGGGGGGGTGGGCTGGGATGGGAGGGAGTAAAAGACAGAAAACTGTACTTGAACAAGAATTAAAGAAAAAAAAAGAATTGGTGTTTCAGGGTTTTAGGGTATAGTCCCAGCAGTGGAATTGTTGGGTTGAAAGGCAGTTCCATTTTTAGTTTTCTGAGGAAATTCCATACTGTTTTTCACAGTGGCTATACCCATCTGCATTCCCACCAAGATGCAGTGGTTTCTGTCTTCTCCACATCTTTTCCAACACTTTTTGTTTGTTGATTTGTTTATGACAGCCATTCTCACCAATGTGAAGTGGTATCACATTGTGGTTTTAGTTTGCATCTCTCTGATGGCTAGTGATGCTGAGCATCTTTTCATGTGTCCCTGGGGCCTTTTTATGTCCTTTTTGGAGAAGTGTATGTTCAAGTCCTTTGCCCATTTTTTTAATTGGGCAGTTTGTCTTTTTGGAGTAGAGTCATGTGAGTTCTTTATATATTTCAGAGATCATACCCTTGTCCAAGGTATCATTGGCAAATATATTTTCCCATGTGTTTGGTTCTCTTTTCATTTTAATGTTGTTTTCTTTAGCCATACAGAAGCTTTTTATTTTGATGAGATCCCATTTGTATATTCTTTCCTTTATGTCCCTTGCTCTAGGGGACATATCAGTGAAAGTATTACTGCATGGAATATCTGAGACTTTCCCACCTATGTTCTTCTCTAGGACTTTTATTGTATCACAACTTATATTTAAGTGTTTCATCCACCTTGAATTTATTTTTGTGCATGGCGTGAGTTGGCGATTGAGTTTCTTTTTTTTTTTTTCTTTTTTCGACATGTAGCTGTCCCTGTCTCCCAACACCATTTGTTGAAGAGGCTATTTTTACTCTATTTTCTGCTTCTGCCTCCTTTGTAAAATATTAATAAACCACAGAGTCGGGTTTATTTCTGGGCTCTCTATTCTTTTTTTAAAAAATTATTATTTATTTATCTTTAGAAGGGAAGGGAAGGAGAGAAAGAGAGAAACATCAATGTGTGGTTGCCTCTTGTGAGTCCTCTGCCAGGAACTGGCCTGCAACCCAGGAATGTGCCCTGACTGGGAATCGAACCACAATCATGTGGCATGCTCAGGCCCACTGAGCTATGCCAGCCAGAGTGTCTGAGCTCTCTATTCTGTTCCATTGGTCTATGTGTCTGTTCTTATGTCAGTACCAGGCTGTTTTGATTACAGTAGTCTTGTAATACAGTTTGATATCAGGCATTGTCATACCTCCTACTTTGTTCTTCTTTCTCAAAATTGCTGAGGCTATTCAGGTTCATTTATGGTTCCATATGAATTTTTGAAACTTTAAACACACTGATTCTTATCTTTAATAAGAAACCAGACTTAAAGTCTTATTTTATACTTTCTGAAAGTCTTTTTTTTTTTTTAAATATTTTATTATTTATTTATCTTTAGAGGGGAAGTGGGGGAAGGAGAGAGGGAGAGAAACATCAATGTATGGTTGCCTTTTGTGCGTCCCCTGCTGGGAACTGGCCTGCAGGGAACCGGCCTGCAACCCAGGCATGTGCCCTGACTGGGAATCGAACCGCGATCGTGTGGTTCGCAGGCCCGCGCTCAATCCACTGAGCTACACCAGCCAGGGCTGAAAGTCTTTTTAAAACTTACTTAGATGTACATATTTATCATTTATCAACCGCTCTTGTGTATACATGAAAATTAAGATATAAGCAAAATCGATTAGTTAAGATGTTCCTGAGACATCTTTACATTCAGAGTCAGAAAACGATGTCTACAAATAGATTGTCTATGTCCATATTTTCCGAAGTGATTTGGTCCTTTGGGTCATTAGAACCATTGGGGATGTGCCTTTCTTAAGAGAATGCTCCACTATCATTTCTGAGACTTCTTTCAAGCAGCTGGCACTCTGATGCTAGAGAAATACTCATTGTTTATTTAGAAATAAGATATTTATTTCTACTATTTAAAAATGAACTCAGAAGAATAAGAAGAGAGGTCCTCCTCTGTGTCTGCCAGTAGAATTAATGGAGGGCATCTGAAAATAATACAGCTTAATTTCTTTTTAAAAACATTTCATTTATTTATCTTTAGAGAGGAAGGGAAAGAGAGAAGGAGAGAAATATTAATGTATGGTTGCCTCTCATGTGTCCCCTGCTTGGAACTGGCCTGCAACCCAGGTATGTGCCCTGACTGGGAATCGAACTGCAATCCTTTGGTTCATAGGCCCATGCTCAATCCACTGAGCTACACTAGCCAGGCTAATTTTTTAAATAAAAAGCTACATAACTTCAACTGACTTATCTTTTCTCCAATTACATAAAACAATGCATTTTTATCCCTTCTACAAGTTCTATGTTCTTCTTTTGTGAATTTTGCATTTTTACTGCAGGCTGGTTTCATTTTCTTTGGTTACTTTTCCTAACACATTTCAGTGCAACATCCCTGCTATAATCAATCAGTACTTCAAAATTATCTGAGGGTAAATTATGTTCTCTGAAGGCTTTTCTGTTCCCCAATGGTTCATATAATTATTAACAATAACTACCATTATGAGGTGTTTGTTAAATATAATCTTTGTTTGCTTAAAAACAACTTCACTTTATGACTAAAATGTTATTTAAAAATCCTGCAACTGTGCCCTGGCTGGTGCAGCTCAGTGGATTCGGCGTGGGCCTCTGAACCATGTGATCGCGGTTCAATTCCCAGTCAGGGCACGTGCCTGGATTGCAGGCCGGGTCCCAGCAGGGGATGCATGAGAGGCAACCATACATTGATATTTCTCTCCCTCTCTCCTTCCCTTCTCATCTAAAGATAAATGAATAAAATAAAAGAATTCTGCAACAGTTGATCAGAATTGGCCTCTATTTTTCTTTTTAATGCTCTTTATAATTTGTTCTGGGCAACAGATGTTCAATTGGCATATATGGGAACTATCACTTAAATATATTGTATGATAAAAGCTAGATACAAAAATGTTCATGATGTATGATTCTATTTATATGACATTCTAGAATATGCAAATTAATATATGGTGACAGAAAGAAGACCAGTGGTGTCCCAGGGTCAGGAATGGAGGGAAAACAGCATTGAAGAGAGCAGAGGGAACGTTTGGATTAATGAAATTGTTCTCAATCTTGATTTGGGTTAGTACGGGGTTTGTACATTTGTTAAAACATCAGATAGCATCACTTGAATAGGTACGGTTTGTGTTTAATTGTATCTTAACAAACTTGACAAAAGTGTACCGTAGCATACTATTATAATGATGGGCTTAAATAATGTTTCCTTAACAGCAAGGAGCACACTTAGAAAAGACTCTTTTTAATATACTGCAGGAGATGAAACTAAGCCTTCATCTCAGATTAAAAGCATTTGTAAAATAACACTTTAATTTTAAAGCCCAATCATCATACTGGAGATACCCTTGGCTAACAGGCTTGCTGGAGGCCAGCCATTCTTGGGAGAGACTGAAGTGAGGAAATAAAACCTGGATTTTCTGAGATGATAGTTGTGAATGAACATAAACGAGCTCACCTCCCCATTGGTTCCTGGAGCAGTCAGTATTGTTTGAGGTTTAGTTATTAACATCAGGGCTCATACCACTTCTGCCCCATGGAGCAGTTTCCCCATGTCAGCTGTCCAATGT